GAACGGATAGAGGATTGAAGGTGAACGGATAGAGGATTGAAGGTGAACGGATAGAGGATTGAATGTGAATGGATAGAGGATTGAAGGTGATCGGATAGAGGATTAAAGGTGAACGGATAGAGGATTGAAGGTGAATGGATAGATGATTGAAGGTGAACGGATAGATAGGATTGAAGGTGAATGGATAGAGGACTGAAGGTGAACGGATAGAGGATTGAATGTGAACGGATAGAGGATTGAAGGTGAATGGATAGAGGATTGAAGGTGAACGGATAGAGGATTGAAGGTGAATGGATAGAGGATTGAAAGTGAACGGATAGAGGATTGAAGGTGAATGGATAGAAGATTGAATGTGAATGGAATAGAAGATTGAAGGTGAATGGATAGAGGATTGAAGGTGAACGGATAGAAGATTGAATGTGAATGGAGTAGAAGATTGAAGGTGAATGGATAGAGGATTGAAGTTGAATGGATAGAGGATTGAAGGTGAACGGATAGAGGATTGAAGGTGAACGGATAGAGGATTGAATGTGAATGTATAGAGGATTGAAGGTGAATGGATAGAGGATTGAAGGTGAACGGTTTGAGGATTGAAGGTGAATGGATAGAGGATTGAAAGTGAACGGATAGAGGATTGAAGGTGATTGGATAGAGGATTGAAGGTGAACGGATAGAGGATTGAAGGTGAACGGATAGAGGATTGAATGTGAATGGATAGAGGATTGAAGGTGAACGGATAGAGGATTAAAGGTGAACGGATAGAGGATTGAAGGTGAACGGATAGAGGATTGAAGGTGAACGGATAGAGGATTGAAAGTGAACGGATAGAGGATTGAAGGTGAATGGATAGAGGATTGAAGGTGAATGGATAGAGGATTGAAGGTGAACGGATAGAGGATTGAAGGTGAATGTTTGGAAAATTTAATTTATTTAAGGAATGTAAACAGAGAGTGCGGGTGAATGGAGAACTGGAGGGTGGGAGGCAGGGAGAGAGGAAGGTAAGAATGGTTTGATGGAGGTTTGATGTAGTTAGGGAGGAGGGCAGGTGTGAGGGTCAGGAGGGAAGGGAGGAGGTTGGTAGGAAATAGGGGTTTTAGGATTAGTGAAGGAATAGGAGAAGGAGCACAGGAGGATATGAAGGGAGTTAGGAGGGTAGGAGGGTAGGAGGGTAGAAGGGTAGGAGGGTTACATATATATACATGGTGTCACACAAAACTGATGTTTATATCAACCAAGGGATTACAAGTTTCCCATATTTTGTTCTCTGTAAGAAAAAAAAATCAGTATTCCAAAGAAGAAATCAAAACTTTAAATATGTCACCGACAAAATTATCTGGATAAGATATTTTACCGCTGAAAAAAATATTAAAATGAACAAAACGTTCCCTTGAGTTTTATTAAACACCCAAATTTATATGTTTCTCGTAGAAAATCAGAAAATTGCCGCCATTTTGGGGATTTTGTTTTAAAAAGTATTAAATCATTTTAACCGTGAAGTTCCTTGAGGAAATAATCTAAAAATTTTCCGCGTTTCCGAGAACCAGTCCGGACTATTAGCGTCCTCCTAAAATATATTGATATAGTCTGGACTATAGCGTCATCCTGGAATATATTGATATAGTCCGGACTATTAGCGTCCTTCTAAAATATATTGATATAGTCTGGACTATAGCGTCATCCTGGAATATATTGCTATAGTCCGGACTATTAGCGTCCTTCTAAAATATATTGATATAGTCCGGACTAATAGCGTCCTCCTAAAATATATTGATATTGTCCGGACAATAGCGTCCTCCTAGAATGTTGATATAGTCCGGACTATTAGCGTCCTCCTAAAATAAATTGATATAGTCCGGACTATTAGCGTTCTCCTACAATATATAGATATAGTCCGGACTATTAGCATTCTCCTAGAATATATTGATATAGTACGGACTATTAGCGTTCTTCAAGATATATAGTGATATAGTCCGGACTATTAGCGTCCTCCTAAAATATATTGATAAAGTCCGGAGTATTAGCGTCCTCCTAAAATATATAGATATAGTCCGGACTATTAGCGGCCTCCTAAAATATATTGATATAGTCCGGACTATTAGCGTCCTCCTGATATATATAGATATAGTGCGGACTATTAGCGTCCTCCTAAAATATATTGATATAGTCCGGACTATTAGCGTTCTCCTAGAATATATTGATATAGTCCGGACTATTAGAGTTCTCCTAGAATATATTGGTATAGTCCGGACTATTAGCGTCCTCCTAACATTTATTGATATAGTCCGGACTATTAGCGTCCTCCTAAAATATATTGATATAATGCGGACTATTAGCGTCCTCCTAAAATATATTGATATAGTCCGGACTATTAGCGTCCTCCTAAAATATATAGATATAGTCCGGACTATTAGCGTCCTCCTAAAATATATTGATATAGTCCGGACTATTAGCGTCCTCCTAAAATATATTGATATAGTCCGGACTATTAGCGTCCTCTTAAAATATATAGATATAATCCGGACTTTTAGTGTCCTCCTGAAATGTATAAATATAGTCCGGACTATAATCGTCCTCCGAAATTATTTAAATATATTCCGGACTTAACTCGTCCTCCGAAAATATAAAGATATATTCCAAACTATAAGTGTCCTCCTGAAATATATAAATATAGTCTGGACTATAAGCGTCCTCCTAAAATATATAGATATAGTCCGGACTATAATCGTCCTGCGAAAATATATAGATATATTCCGGACTAAGTGTCCTCCTGAAATATATAAATATAGTCCGGACTATTAGCGTCCTCCTGGTATATATAGATATAGTCCGGACTATATTCGTTATCCGAAAATATATAGATATATTCCGGACTATAAGTGTCCTCCTGAAATATATAAATATAGTCCGGACTATAATTAGCGTCCTCCTGATATATATAGATATAGTTCGGACTATAAGCGTCCTCCTAAAATATATAGATATAGTCCGGACTATTAGCGTCCTCCTAAAATATATAGATGTAGTCCGGACTATTAGAGTCCTCCTAAAATATATAGATATAGTCTGGGCTATTAGCGTCCTCCTGATATATATAGATTTAGTTTAAATAAATTGATATAGTCCGGACTATTAGCGTCTTCCTAAAATATATAGATATAGTCCGGACTGTTAGCGTCCTTCTTATATGTATATATTTAAGTAAGTTATTTTTAAAGTTTAAGAAATATTAGTTAAGTAGCTAGAGCAATTGTTATTAAGACATATTTTTAATTCTTGCTAATTTCTGGAAAATTTGTTAAGATTTGTTGTCTTTATAAGTTATGAAAAAAGCTAATATATTTTATTATGCATATTCAAGTGTACGGAAATGAACTTTTAAGAAAACCCCATACTCCATAGCCACGGCAGCAGAGTTGGAGTGAGCAGTCTAAATTTCTGCATTTTCCTCAGAATTTTTACAAAATCCTTGAATTGTTCCAATGTATCAATTAAAAAAGACATTTAAACAAAGAGAGTTGTTTCAGGATTGATAAGATGTGTCAGTATGGGTGCTAAAAAGACCTATTTTCGCTGGAGTTAAGTCCTTAATCTTCAGGGACTATCATTGTTTCTTTGCTATAGACTTGAAGCTGAAGGGGCGTATAGAGGGGTAACAGGGGTGAACTAGAGGGCCAAAAATTAGAGGGGGGAGGGGTAGGTTAATTTGATCAAAGTATGGCACAGGTCAAAAACAGTGATAAAACTGATATGATTTTATCTGAGAAATATTAAAATTTCAAGAATTCATTTAAAGAACATCACATTATTACATATGATAGAATTGCACACCTTCAACAAATATTTGTCCCCTCCCCCCCCCCCCCCATTGAAAATATAATTGGTCCAAGGGATTTATGGGGGAGGGGGATAACATCATTACAGAACTTGGTAAATGGTAGGAGACTGAGTAAACGTAAGCTGATGATTACTGGTAGAGAGAAGGAACTGAAACCATGCATGCATGTTGATATGAAAATTAGAAGGAGGAAATCAAGCTTACTCTTGGGTTGAGGGGGAAGGAGATTGGGGGGAATGGAGATAGGGGGAATTTTAGAGAGGGATGATGATGGGGGGGGATGATGTATTCATTTTTCATATTCAAAAGAAAAATCTTGGTGGGTGGGGACACTGGGACACTGTACACGTGAGGCTAGGGTTAATACGGGGATAATTAGTCAAATAATAGTGGGTGGGCACAGGTGAAGTCAACATGTTAATATGTTTGTGACCAACAGGGTTAAATGATATTAATAGACATTAATGAATCAGCTTTCATAGAGAAATTTTAAAGGACGTGGAAAGGGGATCGGAATGGAATTAGGGGGGGGGGAGGTTGAAAAAAGTATGGAAAAAATATAAAAATAAGTTTGAGTGTGGCAGGGATTATTAGATCTAAGAAAAGTCTTTTTTATTTTAAGATTTGTATATACTGTGACTCAATATGACAGCACTGTTGAAAACGAACTTGTTAAAATAATTGTTTTTCAGATAAAAATGTTGCAAAGTTTAAGAAAAACAAACTTTAACAAAATACAATTTTGAAATATTTAAAGATTTTAAAAAATGAACCACGCGATTAATAACAACCCGACAAATATGTCATAATAGAATAAAAACAACCCCCATCGGCTACAGGGTGTCCCATGAAACATGACAGTTGGTTAAAATAAAATGTCTTCTTCTATAATTTGCTCAGAGAATAATGAGCCATAGTATATCCCAGTCATATCATCGTAATATTGATTTCAAAGTAAACCATCCTTGAGTAAAAGTTATTTTTAACAAATCTGCAAAAATGAAAAAGTCTTTAATTTCTAATAGAGTTTGTGGAAGAAGGTATTCAAAACCATTCCCCAACTGTCATGTTTCGTGGTACACTCTGTATCTCTCTTAAGAGTAAATTTTGCAACAAACTCTATGTTTGGACTGAACGGTTTAAACACTATACAGTGGTCGGCGTTTATATCAAAATAATAAAGACGACTTTCCAATTTAAGATTTGAATTCTAACAAACTTTTTTTAAACGACAAAGTTACTTGTAAACAAAGAGAATTTACAACTTCTCTTTGTTTCCATGTTCATGTCTATCCATGGTGTCAAAATTCGTCTTCATTGCATTGATACATACGACGATGACTGTAATAAAAAAAAAAAACTCCGAAAATGAAGCAATACATGAGGGAATTAAGGATTCTAGGCCAGGGTACAAAAGTAAAGAAAATTAAAAGGGAGGCAATTCTGGGAAGGCAAAGAGGGGGGAAGGAAAATCGGGAGGTGGAGGGAAAAAGAGAAGGGTAGAAATGAGGGGGAAGGATTTAGGGGGGGGGGCAGCGCAATTATTCACGGAATTTTAACCGTTTCAAACTACTGCTTGCAAATTGGAAGAGTTTTGCACATATACATATAATTAACATTAAGAGCTCGCTCAATTATTGTTCTAATTTCGCAAAATATTTAATTTTGGAGTTTTGACTAATTTAAAAAAGGTTTAAAGTTAAAACTTTCTCTTCCTTTAGATTGAAAAATAAAGTTTGTAAAGGGGATAATATTTATATACTAATACTAACAAGGTTCCCTGTAAAGGGGTTGTTTATATAATATTTATATACTAATACTAACAAGGTTCCCTGTAAAGGGGTTGTTTATATAATATTTATATACTAATACTAACAAGGTTCCCTGTAAAGAGGTGTTTATATAATATTTATATACTAATACTACCAAGTTTCCCTGTAAAGAGGTGTTTATATAATATTTATATACTAATACTAACAAGGTTCCCTGTAAAGGGTTGTTTATATAATATTTATTTACTAATACTAACAAGGTTCCCTGTAAAGGGGTTGTTTTATAATAGTTATATTTTTGAAATTTTATAATTTCCTATCCATTACATGACAATAAGTGTTTTTGCGTCTTTTTTCCAATTTAAAATAATTTGCGGATTTTCTTAAATTTATATACGCACATTTTTTCCTGAAACTATACTTATTTGATCTGTTTAAGATTTAATGTGTGTTAAAATAATATATTCCCGCCTTTTTTGTTTTTCTACACATCTAATTTTGAGTAAATAACAGTTTCGCGGATCTTTTTTAAAGATTACCTTTAAAACAAATAAAAAATTTCATACATATTTGTCAAATATGAGATTACCAAACAATATGTTTTATTATATGCAAAATCTCGCTAGTCACCCGTTTTTTTACTCATCCTGTATATATAAAAAAGTAACAATCACTGTTTCTTTGTATTTCCGATCAAAACTCTTGAACCACTTGACCAATTTGCCATAAATTTTGATTTGGGAAATTGTTTCCTAATCCGAGCCGGTACAATTATCTCCTAGTACCGACTACTCTATTAAAATTAATTTATTTGTACCGGTAAGTCTAGTGTACCCACTAACCAATGTGTATTGAACCTAGCACGTATTATGCATGAAATATAGGTTTTTTCATACCTACTTGATTTACTCACTTGTTAACCTGATGGTTTGGAACTAGATGGACCGGAGAGTCTTGAGGTCCATCCTCCAGGGCCAGCTGTAGTCCAGACATACTCTCCTCGTCCACCATGGTCCCTGGACTTAACCTAGACGATATCTTTATAGTCCCTAGGGCCTAGACCTATCCTATACAATATCATTTTAGTCCCTAATCCTAACCTTTACAATATCTTTAGAGTCCCTGGACCTATCCTATAAGATTTCATTTTAGTCTCTAGACCTAACCTAGACGGTATCATTATAGTCCCTGGACCTATCCTATAAGATGTATTTTAGCACCCAAGACCTAACCTTTACGTTATCTTCATAGTCCCTGGACCTAACCTAGACGGTATCATTATAGTCCCTGGACCTATCCTATAAGATGTGTTTTAGCACCCTAGACATAACCTTTACATTATCTTTATAGTCCCTGGACCTAAGCTAGACGGTACCATTTTGGTGCCTGGACCTATCCTATATGATATGTTTTAGCACCCTAGACCTAACCTTTACGTTATCTTCATAGTCCCTGGACCTAACCTAGACGGTATCATTAAAGTCCCCGGACCTATCCTATATGATATGTTTTAGCACCCTAGACTTAACCTTTACGTTATCTTCATAGTCCCTGGACCTAACCTAGACGGTATCATTATAGTCCCTGGACCTATCCTATATGATATGTTTTAGCACCCTAGACATAACCTTTACATTATCTTTATAGTCCCTGGACCTAAGCTAGACGGTACCATTTTGGTCCCTGGACCTATCCTAGATACAATATATTTTTATAGCCCTAGACTCTGTATCTTTGTACTCCAATACAATTGTTACCTGTTACCTCCACTTTACACTATTCTAACTGTATAATTGTTACCCCGTACCTCCACTGTACACTACTCCTGTACATACCTGGTTCCTCCCTCCACTTTACACTACTCCTGTACAATTGTTACCTGGTACCTCCACTGTACAATACTACTGTACAGGCTGGTACCTCCACTGTACAATACTACTGTACAGGCTGGTACCTCCACTGCTGCCACTGCTGCCACTGCTGATGAACTACTGCTGTACAGGCTTGTACCTTCACTGTGCAATACTACTGTACATACCTGGCACCTTCACCGTACACTACTTCTGTACATACCTGGTACCTCCACCGTACATTACTCCTGTACATACCTGGTACCTCCACTGTACACTACTACTGTACAGGCTGGTTAGCCTATGTCCTCTGTATGACCGGAAAATCACCTGAAAATAAAAGATCTAATTATTTTTTTTAAAAAATTCATTAGAAAAACAGCAGTCCAGATTGCAAAATTCTAAATAAAGATTTTTCAGCATTTTCAATATTTCGAGCAGAATATCATGGGATCCCTAACACTAATTTAGAAATAAGGTAAACCAGGTGTAAAGCAATAATAGTAAGGATAAACAATATATATAGGAGTAGCAGAGCAGGTTGTAGAGTGTAGAAGAATAAACAATATATAGGAGTAGCAGAGCAGGTTGTAGAGTGTAAAAGAATAAACAATATATAGGAGTAGCAGAGCAGGTTGTAGAGTGTAGAAGGGTAAACAATATATAGGAGTAGTAGAGCAGGTTGTAGAGTGTAGAAGGATAAACAATAAATAGGAGTAGCAGAGCAGGTTGTAGAGTGTAGAAGGATAAACAATATATTGGAGTAGCAGAGCAGGTTGTAGAGCGTAGAAGGGTAAACAATATATAGGAGTAGTAGAGCAGGTTGTAGAGTGTAGAAGAATCCCTATCCCCCTCCCCCTCCCCTCTCTTTCAAATTCTGTTTAGCATCCAGAAATTGTCTTCTTCAAAGTACGTTCAGGAGAAAAAATAAAAATTTTCAAAATAGTTCTATGTCAATAGAATACAGTGATCAATCGATGGAATAATGTGATCAGTCGGTGGAATACAGTGATCGTTTGGTGGAATACAGTGGTTGGTCGGTAGAAAACAGAGATCGGTCTGTGGAATACAGTGAGCGATCGGTGAAATACAGTGATTGGTCGGTGGAATACGGTAATTGGTCGGTGGAATACGGTAATTGGTCGGTGGAATACGGTAATTGGTCGGTGGAATACGGTAATTGGTCGGTGAAATACAGTAATCGCTCCGTGGAATACATTGGTCGGTGTAAAACACAATGTAAAATTAACCTAAAATATGATTGCCATTTTTTATCTTATTTTGAGAGGAGATCGAGTTTTTTGATCTTATGTTCAAGAATTCAATGGAATTAAAATTAAAAGTAGAATTAATAAGAATAAGAAAATCAGCGTTAAGTTTTTGTCTATTTTTCCCTATGATTAAATTGTACTCAGATTTCACATATGGCTTTTGTACGCAATTTTCTACGCAATATTACTTCATTACTTCTTATCGCAAAAATAAACAAAAATGTAAAAAATGTAAATTACCAAACTTAATTTAAATCTAATACGCAAACTTCACGTAAAAGATAAACAGAATCTATAAAATGGTGTAAGATGATTTAAATTTGACATTTTGATAAAGGAAATATGAGTTACGCATTTTGAGTACATTGTGAATGAGAAGACTGCACATGGTTTGACTATGGATAGATTCTATCCATATTATCATCAGTTTCATGTTTTCATTAATTACATAAAGAGTACATTATTAAGAACCATGGGTGAATCAATTTTATTTCAAACATTTACAAAAGATATACCATTTATGCCTAAAAATAAAAGTTGAAATAATTCTAATAAGATTCAAGAGTTCTATAATTTGTCCCAAGGACTAGAGATGGTCATCATGTTTATTAGGTTCAGTACTGAAAATTCACTGTTTTTACTTTAAAAAAGCACAAAATAGAATGAAAAAATAAAAATTTCATCTAAACGATAAAAAAGCCAATTTACAGAAAATACAATTTCTGGAAGCCTCTTGAATATAAAAACCATGGACCGGATTTTATAAATTTGAGCCAGATCTAGAAACGATTCAACCACGTCTCGGTTTTAAAGGTGAATTGCCCGGCGTCGCCCTTGGATTTTTTTAAAATCGATTTTTTAGCCTATGTTACCCCCAGGGTACCCATGAGTTTCCTCAAAAAAATTCAGCCAATTCGGTCGAGCCGTTTCACCAGCTTTAGCTAATAGATATACATAAAAATATATGAGTGAAGAGCTTTCTTATATAGAAGATAACTACACTGCAGAACTATGTATAGCAAATAAGTATAGCTAAAGCTTAAAATAATATATTGTTTTATCATAAAAAATATTGCCCAGGTCCGGCCCTCATGCACTTTATACCCACCAGTACATGTTCACATTAATTATAGCAGTACAAGGCAGCCAAACAAGTTTGCTTTTCACACGCTTAATCGTAAAATTTGAAAAAAGTGACGTTACGAGGTTTAAATTCGTAACAGTAAATTTCTTGTCTTCTTTATCTTGAGATTGGAATGGTAATGCCTGAATATCACTGCAGGGCATATTTGTTTAGTCTAAACTTCCCATCCCTAATTCTCTTGCAAAATATATTGTTGAACATTCTGCCCATTTCTGTGTATTGTTGAAATTAACTGCCTGAGTTTTCAAGCATATCATCATTCTAATGAGGAAGGGGGTGCAGGGCCGCCATAAGCCCCGAAAAATGGTCTCCAAGCCTCCCTATTCACAGATGAGTATTTAAAATGACCTGGTACAACCCCGAAACGTAAGAATAGATATTATAGAAGTAATAAATAACATTTTTTAAAGAAATTATTTAATCTTTAAATAGTAATGCAGTGTTTTCTTAAATATCCAAAAACATTGCATAATTATTAAAATGTTAAATATTTTTTCTAAAACTTTTTATGCATAACTTCTTTAATATCTAATCTAAAGGATAGGGGTAGCGCCAGGCCATTTTAATTCTCATCTGCGAATTCAGAGGCTTGGAGAACATTTCGCGGGGCTCAAGGCGTCCCTGCACCCCCTTCCTTTGTTCGAATCTAACACACACGCCGTAGAATATGCAGCAAATACAGATTAAACCACAAAAATGATAAAATAAGAAAAATCTATCTTTTACGAAGAATATTTAAAGCTTTTATGGTTTAATTTTTGATATTTATTTCTACTACAAAGTATGTGTCAGAGCTAGGCGGATTACTGCGTATATATGAGTGGAATCCTTATATCGTTCTAATTGATGATAACTTGAGTTTTCAATCCAACAATTCGTCTTACGCAAAACCTTCACATAAATAATATTTGTTGAAAACAAGATGGAAAACTGTCAAATTTAAAGGGACTGTAGACTGTTTAGACGTAATTTCAAGTGATCGATTCCCAAAGTTATATTTACCCTTGAAAGCTTTGTCTAACTTGTCAATAACGACTGAAATATCCATATTTTTTCTTTTAAAATTGATTATTTTCAATTTTAAAAGATAAAATATTTGGCCTAAAAGGATTTAATGTTTAAAATTTATAGTTTTGAGACACCAGGTTGCAAAGATTTAAAAATTAGAAAATGTGTTTATGTGTTATTCAACTGCCTAAATTATATTTTTTCAAACTCAGATTTTTCCTCTTTAGATTTCCTGACTCTCTTTTTATTTATAGATGTTAACAATTTTACACAATAAGATTTCCAATCCTCGCACAGTTAAGCACAATCCTGATTTCCCATATATAAATTTCCCATATTTAGATTTCCCATATTTAGATTTCCCATATTTAAATTTCCCATATTTAAATTTCCCATATTTAAATTTCCCATATTTAGATTTCCCATATTTAAATTTCCCATATTTAGATTTCCCATATTTAAATTCCCCATATTTAAATTTCCCTCATTTAAATTTTTCATTTTTAGCCACCGTAAATTCAAAAATTTCCATTTTTCCAATTTTACTCTATAATCTAGAATTTGTTCCATTTTTTCCAATTTTACTCTATAATCTAAGATTTGTTCCATTTTTTTGCGAACTTGAGACACGATTAATAATAAAAAGTTGACAATTCATCCTTCAGCGCTCAGCTAGACATTTGAGTAGAAGTCTTGTAAATATATAAAGATGATTTCAACAGATTTTGTATAAAGCTAAATGTATTGTCAGTACAATTCACGCTAGGTTAACAGTTCGGTCCTTGCAAGGAGATATTGAATAGAAGGAGGGGGCGATAGGGTTTCCGTTCAATTTGCTGTGACGTTTTTGGACTGCTGAAGAACTAGTTTTTGCGTAACAGCAATAATAAAGATTGTAAACAATAACACAAATGATAAACAGACATCTGGCATCTCTGGCGCGTTAGATGAAGATTTACCGTATACTAACTCATGTTTGTTTACATTAGATCGGCTGCCTTTGTTATTGTTGTTACGCAAAAACTAGTTCTTCAGCAGTCCAAAAACGTCACAGCAAAGTGCACGGAAACCCTATCGCCCCCTCCTTCTATTCAATATCTCCTTGGGTCCTTGTCCTGGCTATTTGACCAATTAACATACAGTTTTCGGTTTGTCTCCTATATTTTTTTTCGTAAGATGCATTTTGAACATTGAATGAAAAAGTTTTATAAGATAATATAGTTGAATATAAGACCAAAACGTGGTTAAATTCAAATTTAAGAAACCAAATATCATACAAGGACGAATTTTGTAAAAAACGAGAGATCTTACATTGATCCACACGAATATGAAAATATGAAAAACTTTTCCGACCGGACAGACTTTGAAGTTTTACCGGGCCTTTCTTCTACCCAACTTTGCTCTTTACAACCCAGAATATGAAAATTTCAAAGCTGCAAAAGAAAAATGTGTATTTGTAAAACTAGAATTTTTACAAATCGGTCAAAAATATTTTTACGTAAGACTTGTAAATTTGAGCTCACTGTGAAAAGGATCAAATGATTATGGCTTATAAAACAGAAAAAGGATTAAAGGATTATGGCGGATAAAAAAGAAAAATAAGGATTAAACGATTATGGCGGATATTAAAGAAGAAAAGAACAAGATAAAGGCTAAAAGAGCAAGGGGAAAAGAACTAAAAGATAATAAATAACAGGAGGATTTCATGCATAGATTTTTAAAATTAAATCTATAACTGAATCAAATTGTAATTAAATGAAATGCAGAATAATATGAAAAAGACTAAATGGATTTTAAACTAATGTTTTCAAGATATTTTGACTAATTTGTCCAAATGAATTTACAGATTCTCAAGTGTATAAGCAGCATGAAAACTCTAAAACCCCTGTTTTAACACTTTAAATGCAAAATTTTGCAAACATTCCTTAACCCC